CCTCCGCCGAAGGTACACAGACGATCAACACGACCTGACTGTTGGACAACGAATAACGGTTACTGACACCAGGTTAGCCTGCCTGCCCTTGGGTTTCTGGTCCACGCACATGGGGCCAAATGGAAGATTAACGCGATTATCTAAACGCGTTTAGATAATCTAAAAATCTAAAAGTTCGAAAACGCCCCCCTCCCCAACAGACTGCTCCAATTGTGTGTGGACTTGAAGCTGCTGGGGAAATGTCTAGTGGCTTGTCCTCCGACAACTGCCTTAATCGTCCACTTTATCCCCCACCCCCACCCCATCCAAGGAGGCGATGCTAGACTGCTGCAGACTTGCAGCCCCCCTCCTGGGGTGGAGAGCCCTGGGATCGCTGGGCCCGGCCCATGCCCTTCCCTCATCTTCCACGCCTGACTTTCCGGTTTCCCGCAGCTCCCGGACCAGGCGCTGTTACCCCACAGCGCGCTGGCGTCCTAGTCCCGCATGGGACCGACTTCCAGGGCGGGCTGGAAAAGCAAGTGGCCCCCAAGGGCAGGGAGGTTGGTGTGAGCACATCGGGGCAGCACGTTCCGGAGGTGGGGGGGTGGTGAGGGTTCTGACATGCAGATATTTCCTGAACTGGCGGTCCCACGCCACCCCCTCATTCCCTCAACTTGACTTGAAAAAATAAAAACAAAAATAACAAACACACACTGCTGTGGTGTCACGACAGTTCAAATCCCAGCATTTCTTGGAGTGGTCTGGACATCTCCCGTCTGGTCCTTTCGGTAAGATACAAGCAGGGGCGCGGGAGGCCTCTTTTGAAACGTTGTTGTGACGTCACGCCCTTCCTAGTTAAGGAGCCCATCGGTGGGCCCTTGGAATTGTCACCGGGCCTGGCTGGTCTTCGTGGAGAGTGCCCGCTGAGCGACAATCCCACCAAACATCCATCACCGCTGTCGCCTGTGGGGCCTCCAGGCTGCAAGCCCATACAGCCCATGGTGAGGCATGAGACGAGCACTTCCTGCCGGGGTATTTCTGCCCAGGGAGTAAAGGGTTGGGAGGGAGGCTAACCTAAAAATAAAAATTCTAACCCCTCCTGAAAAGATAGTATGTGTATGCCTTCATGTTCAAATAGCACCACCACCAACAATTATAAGCGTCTGAAATGCAATCAAGCCAGCAGCTTATAAAACACAAATGCAGATATCTTTTTCTGGCAAATATCCAGCGCTAAACCAGTGGGAAGTTGATCTCTATACAACACCTCCACCCCGGCTGGCCTGCTCCTAATTTCATAATGGTAATTTTCATGCCCAGATCAAAGTACCACGGACACCGCGGGTGCAGGTTCAAAATGTACAGAAGCTGTTTACACGTCACTAGGCTGGGGGGCCGGGCTGGGGCTGGAAATGTGGCGACGGGAAGAAAGGGAGGGGACTCAGGACCGAACACTACCAACACCCACCCACCCACCCGGCCCGCAGGCATTTCCCGCATTGGAAAAACAAAGGAGTCGCTCTTGCTAGGTCCATCCCCAGCCAGGGAGCGATGGAGACGTAGTTGAATGACTGGATTCGCCAAATCTGAGGTGTGTGGAGAGATCACCCGCGTCATTGCTCCCTGGGCTGAAGCTAACGAGGCTCGCAAATCTCGGTCTGGGGGCCAAGGAACCGGCTTGGCGTTGGACACAAATTCGGTTTTCAAATCGAGGGGCTTTCCTCCCCCCCCCCTCCCGTCTTTAGGAGCCTAAGTGCTAAGCATCCTAACAAGCCTGGGGGCTCTCCTGAGTTACCATTGACTTGTGCTAGGAACACTCTGGAAAAGGAGTCGCGAATGACCTGAGTTCACTGCTTGGCCGGAGGCGGCTGCCACCGGATTCGGAATTTCCGGACAGTCCCCCACCGCCTAAGGCGATTTACAGCGGTCGCGAGGCCTCGTCTTCCTCGACCTAAACGACCATTCTGAACCACGCTGGGAGCTTTGTACCGTTCAAGTGACAGGGAGCGATGCCTGCTGACAACCAGAGTGCAATTTCCAATGTAGTGCAGACGTAAAGAGCCGGGTTTCTGGCTGGGAAGTCAAATGGAGCTCCCAACGCGTCCTAGGAGCTACAGATTGTCAGAAATTTTGCGAGCGGGGCTGTTCAAGGCCTCACGCACCCGTCTTCACACTCTCGCGAACTCGCCACTCTGTGGATTCTAGCAAAGAACCTCAAGTTCCGTCTCCCTAGAGGGTCTTTGCCAAAATGCAGGCTCTCACCGTAGGCGGAGGGAGGCCCGTCTCTCTCCTGCTCCTTCTTTACTTGTCCTCTGATTTCTCATCTTTCTCTCAGGAGACAATCCCTGCCCTTCCGAAGCTACAACTATCAGGTAGCTGCGCTGGAGTCCTCCCATGTTCCACTCCTCCACCCCCAGCCCCCAATCGTCCTGCAGGTGTGACTTGGAATATCGCCTCCTACCCACCCCCGCCACACACGCATTATCTCTGGGAGCTGCAGCCCCGCGTGTGGAGGCGGAGAGGGCCCGGAGAAGCGTTGAGCTCTTGAATGTAATTATTTGCCTCTTGTCATCACACCTGCTAATGTCCCTGAGCCTCAGCCTGACCCCTCCTTTGAACTAAAGCATCCAGAGATGAGTGAGCGGAGGTGGGGGGGTGGGGGGGGGGTGGCGAGTCTGTCAGGACCCCGCTCCAGCGAGAAACGGGAGCTCTGGGAGTCTCAGAGAGACCGCATCAAGTGACACCTCGCCCATGAGCCACAGAGCCTGCCTCGGTCCTGTAGCCCGCCCGAAGCTCTCAGCAGGGCTTTGCCCCCTTTCCTTATACCTAGCAGAGAGAGGTCGAGGTTGCGGGGATCATAGTGGCAACTCCTTCCGGCCCGGGACAGAGCACAGCTTTGACGGTGGCCTTAAAATCATGCTCTTTGTAACTGATATCAGGCAAAAGAATCCACAAATGGGGGGGGCGGGGGGATTGGAGCCACCCGTGCCGTGCCGTCTGAGAGACTGGAGGATCAGGCGGAGGCAAAAAGGATGAAGGGAGAGAAAGGTCGAAAGCGAGAAGTAGAAGGCAGGAGCGAGACCTGGGCAAGTTGGCTCTAGCGATGGGCCGGCGGGCCAAGGACTGTGTAAAGGCCACGCGAGAGGGCTGAGGGCTGGCAGCAGTGGCCGCGGGAGAGCCAGTGGGCCGAGGAGGTGTCTGGGGCCGAGGGGCCCAGGAAGTCTGGGGACACAATGGAAACCTGCGAAGAAACACTTGGAGAAGCTGCCC